CTCTTATATTCTACTATAATTTGAATTGTTATAAATTTTCGTTGTTTTCCATTCTTGTAACATAAGTCATTTTACCTTTTATCTATTTATCTTTGTTTATATCTGATATTTATGTGTAAGAACATTTAGATCAATGAGAATTAACTCCTTTAATGTGTTCACACACTCAACCAATAAAACTGATCATCTGCCACCTAAATGTTTATTGATTATTTTTTGTAACACAGCAGCAGAGTTGTAACCAGGGTAACTAATAATATTACTTTCTACAATAACTAGAACTGTAACTAATTACTAATATTAGTTACGCTAAATATAATTAGTTACATTACTTTTGTTGTCTCCTGCTGATCTGAAATCAACAATCAATCACATCCTTTGATCCATTGTTGTAATCCTGGAGGAAACTGAAAATACTCCATTACTCTTATTTAGAGTTTACAGTCTTTTATTGTCACAGTTTTACAGTTTTTCAGAAAGACGCTCAGAGTAAAGTTTTACATGCTTCAATTGGCGGGAATGAAGAAAACTTTAGTAACTGGCGCCTCCGAGCTCGATCCATAACGAATACGTATGAATATCATCGTTTACTAATCAAACAGCACTGAGGAAACCCTACGAAGACGACTGATGGTGAGATATCTGACAATGTTCTGAGATTTGGTTCTGAAGAACGGATCAAACTGTTTATCTGCTGATGTTTTGTGTTGTATGCTAACTAGCTTCCATACAGCAGTAACTCAACCCAGTGTCTTCCACAGTCAAGAGTTAGCGTAGCATTCGCTAACTACATCAGAGAAACAGCCGCTGTGTGAAACCTGGAATCAGTTCGTCTTTATTAGATCTGAGGACATTTAAACTCCAACGACAGCTTGATAAAAGTCTGATTAGTTGTAGAACAGCAGAGTTTGCGGTGGATCCGGGTCCAGTAGTCTGGTACAGGTTCAGGTGATGCTGATAGATTCAGTGTGAAGGCTTCTGATTGGCTGCTTGTGTGGAGGGGGCGGGGCCAGAGGCCTGGGAGAGAAAAGAACATTAAAGATGAATTTATATCTTCTGCTGGTCGATGAATTTAAATTTAATTTGGTCTGAAAGTGAAAACATGCTAACACTAACTTTAAGAGATTTTAGGACGACAGTGAACTGTTTGTATAATTATTAAAAACTGAAAGTGAACTGTTTGTTGGTCAGTGTGAGACGTTTTGGTTGTGACGTAACATTTGTTAGGAGTTTTTGAGACCTGCTCTACCACAGAGTCACTGACTGATGCAAACAGCACTGAGGTTTTAAATAAAGTTTGTTTGTATAGTAATAATAATAATACTTTATTTACATGTATATTATTTATAGCTCTACAGAAGAGAGAAAAACACACAATCAAATGAATAACAAATAAAAGAACAACAGTGTACATAGAACTCACTTATTTAACGTAGTTTCTATCTATCGTGTTGTTCCCAGTGAGCAATCAATACAGTTTTTATCTTAACAGAATCTGTCAGCGTAAGAAATAAGAAATAAAATAAACCAAAAGAACAATAAAATATGTAAAGGATGAGAATAAAGCAATGTGACAGTTAAAAGAAACGAATGTTGAACAAATATACGATGATTCTCAAGTTCTGAATGTTTTTATTCTGGATGAACATCAGAGACAACAACGTCCTCAGGAGGTCACAGATATTGATCCATTAGTTCCCTCCCACCTCCCTCTGTACTGTGAATGTGTCTGCTC